CAGTTAGCAGGTACTTCTGGGTTCCAGGCCCAGGGCTCTGGGACGGTGACCCAGTTCTCCCAACTCTCCGTCTTTGACCTTGGGTAAGTTTTTTTTTTTGCTTTTGTTGTTTTGCGCACGGCACCCAGAGCCTTTCCGAGGCATACAGGCGCTGAACTTCGGAACCATAGCTCCTGCCCTAGGGAGTTTCTTTCTCTTTACCTCTCTTTTTTTAGAGGGAGGGTTTCCCTGAGTAGCCCAGGCTATCCTGGAACTAGCTCTGTAGATTAGGCTGGTCTCGAACTCAGAGATCCATCTGCTTCTGCTTTCGGAGTGCTAGAATTAAAGGAGTGCAACACGACACCCAGTTCATGTCCTGGGAAGTTTCTTAAGCGCTGCTGAGTCTTGGCTTCTGCTCTGTAAAATGGGGGGACAGGGGACGGGACTGGACAGGATGGGACACAACAGTGTACATCTTTCTGGAGAATTCTGGTCCTAGGCGGCTGGTGTGGGTATTGGCAATGTCTTCTGTCTAGGTAAGTTCTCTACGCCCAGGAGACAGCACGGTCATACGTTATAGAGGCAGTTGAGACCCAGCGAAGGTGACAGTTCACCCAGGCCTAAGCTGAAGTCTGCAGGCTTGAGAAGAATAGGTTGCTCTACCTTACCCTGTAGCCACACCCAGGGGATCATAGAAGTGTCAGATTGATCTTGGCCCCCTGAGGGACATATCCATCCCCTGCCAGGAGCCAGGGCAAAGAGCCCATCGTATGAGTGGGTCACCCTTGGGCAGATGTGGGTGAACCATGACTGCCCCCAGGTCTGCTCCCAGCCTGGGACTGCAGCAGGCTATAGCACAGAGGGTCCCTGCGGCTGTACTGCTGTTCTCACCTAGGGCTGGAAGTGGGGGCCTGAAGAGCAGGAGCCCTCTGAGTCCCTGAAGGTCTGAGGCTGTAGCAGCCTCTGGAGGCGCCCCCAGCACAAAACAGGGCTGGGAGACTACACTCCATATCCCTGGGGCTCAGTATGCTCTCCAGCCCCTCCCATGTTATCTGTGTGGCTAAAGGGGTCCTCAGATGTTCCTTCCTCTACCTACCTTCTTGTCCCCGAACTGTGATAATGGCCTGTCTGCAGAGATCCTGACTGCCCCTCTGCAGCCAAAGCAGGGTTTTGTTTGGTTGCTGGTATTTTACTCCTTTATTCTTTCTGTAAATAACTGATGTTCGGCAGGCGATGGAAGCAGGTGTGATAGCACAGATCTGAAATCTCAGCGCTCAAGAGGCTGAGGTGGGAGGGTGAGACATTCCAGGGCAGCCTGTGCTATGCACTGAAACTCCCTTAAACTCCCTTGAAAGAAGGCAACAAGCATACAGAGGCAAGCACAGACACACACATCATACCACAGACACACACCACACCACAAACATAGATACACACACACACACACACACACACACACACACACACACACACACACATTACTGCTTTGGGAAACTGCAGTGAACTGTTAGCTGCTAGAGCATCTTGGCTCCAGCAACAGTTTGCTACATCCTAATGGCATGGCCTATGCACTGCCACACACCACAACGGGTGTAAAAACCACCCGTTGTCCTCTGGTCCCTCCTACAGTTTATAAGAGAGTCGCCAAGTCAGGACGGAGCATTTTTCATGTTCCCTGCAGAGAATTTGCACCTGCTTCCTGCTTTCCCATAGCCCTGCCAGCACTGGGTATTCATATTATCTTAAATTCCTATCACTTTTACAGGAGGAATGTGTACCGTGTTCCACCCTGTGTTTAAAGAAATGTTCCAATTTCATTCAGTTGTGATTGGAACATGTTTTTGTCTGTTGGCTGTATTTTTTCCCTTTTAGTAAAGTGCTTTATATGTGAAAAATGATCATGTTGAATTTGCATTCCCCTGTTAGAGGCAGGCCTGTTAGGCCCACCAATATTTTCTAACATAGTCCTTCTCTCTCCCTCTTCTCCCCAACTTGTCTGCCTCCTCCACTTTCTTTTTTTTTTTTCTTCTCCATTTTTGAGGCAGGGTCTTATGTAGCACAGGCTGGCCTAAACCCTCTATGTAGCTGAGACTGGCCTTGAACTCCCATCCTCCTGTTTCTGTCCTCCGAGAGTTGTGCTTACAGCCTGCACCAGCGCTCTTGGTTGCTGTGGGGCTGGGGATGGAAACCAGTACTGCAAGCATGCTAGACGGGTGTTTGATCAACTGAGCTACCTCCTTACCGTTATTATGTTTTCTTCCTGTATTTGGTGTAAAAATGTTTTTTTTTAACTCAGTTGGAGTTTTTAGAGCAAAATGTAGGCTGGAGAGCTATATTTGTTTCTTTAAATTAATAATCAACTTTCAGAGTTTGTTTTTGGTTTATGGAAAGGCCGAGAGCAGAGCCGGGTTCCCATATGTTCATTCTGCCCATGCCTTCTTTGTTAAACATTTACCACACTGTGTGAGCTAATGCCAGTGCAGTGTGGTGACCTCAAATCCATGTTCTGTGGTGGTGCTCTCTCACCGCGTTTGTGTGACCTTCGTGTCTGGATAGTGTGTAAAGACATGCGTCCACTTATGTAGGCTTAGATGCCACGAGCGTTCTCTCCTCAGCCCTGGCAAGTAACTACTTATTTTTTCACTGTCTCCGATGCTCCGGGTTCACTTTTCTGAGTGCTGTGCAATTGTGATCACGGTGGACAGCGTCTTTGCAGGTTGGCGTCTTTCACTCAGCAGTTTGCATTTAGGTTTCCTCGGTGTCTTTTCACAGCTTCCTAGCACATACCCTCTCACTTCTGGCTCAACCCCATCACCACAGGTTTGTTTTTTCCTCCTTTCACTCACTAATGGGTGTCATAGTTGCTTCCAGGTTTGAACAGTTCTAAATAATGCCGCTGTCAACATTTGCATGTGGATGCTAGCTAGTGTTCTATCCACTTGAAGAAATACCTATGAGAGTGTGTCCTACTTAGGGTTACTATTGCTGTGATGAAACACCATGATTAATAGCAACTTGGGGAAGAAAGGGTTTGTTTGACTTATGCCTCATTATTACTGTTCATCATCGAAGGAAGTTAGGAACTCAAATAGGGCAGGAGCTGATGCAGAGGCCATGGAGGGGTGCTACTTACTGGCTTGCTCTTCATAGCTTGTTCAGCCTGACTTCTTATAGGACTCAGGACCACTTGCCCAGGAGTGGCCCCACCCACAATGGGCTGGGCCCTCTCCCATCAATAGCTAATTAAGAAAATGCCGCATAGTCTTGCCTAAAGCCTGATCAACTGAGGCTCTCACTTCTTCAATACTCTAACTTGTGTCAAGTTGACATAAAACTAGCCGGCACAGAGTCGTTTCTGGAACTGGTGGTTAAAACGGGTTTTGCGTTAGAACAAGAATGCTGGAGGCTGGAAAGGCGGCATTTGAAGATCCTGAATTCTGTTCCCAGCACCCAAGCCAGGCAGCTCACAGCCTTTGGAGCCCCAGAGGAATCTGATGCCACCTTCTGGCATCCAAGGGCACTGCAGTTTGATGATTTAAATCTTTAGCTCACATTTTAATTGAGTTTTCCCCTTTCTTTCCCTGAGTTTTGAGGGTCAGCTGTTCTTTCTCAGGTCTCCCAGTTTATGGATCCTCATTTTATTTTCTTGATGGAGTCCTTTGAAAGTAGAACTATTAAGCTGAATAAAGTAGGACTTAATTTTCCTTGTCATGAGCACTCCTGTGCTGTGTTTTGAAAGGTACTGATAAATGCAAGGTTGTCCACATTTTTCTTTTTATCTTTGAGAGGTTTCTAACTTCAGGTCTGTGATCCACTGGATTTGATTTTTATGAAGGTTGTGCAATGTTTGAACCAGCATGGCCTGCTATGGCATATTCACACACTGACCCCGAAGGTTCACATGCCCACAGGCTAGTGAGGGGGAGGGAAGCAGCCATGGTTTTGGGTCTGAAAGGCACATGTGTGAGGTTGGCCAAGACAGAGAGGCATCACTGCTCTTTGCTGTGAGAGGTCTGGGTGTTTAGTGACCAATGGCATTTCTGGGTCACAGCAGCGTGCTGTGTGTGCAGAAAATCATGAGGCTATCTCACACCTGAGGTTTCTGTGCTTTTGTTATTATTATTATTCGAGACAGGGTTTATCTGTCAAATAGTCCTGGCTGTCCTGGAACTCACTCTGTAAACCAGGCTGGCCTCAAACTCACAGAGATCTGCCTGCCTCTGCCTCCTGAGTGCTGGGTAAAAGGCGTGCAACACCACCTCCTGCCTGGCAGTTTCCACACTTCTGAAGTGTGAAGTCTGCACTTAGGACTTGCCCTGAACCATGCATATGTGGTAAATGGACAGTTTAAGGAAAGATATCAGCAAGTACCACAAGTCTTTTGGGTTGTGGCAAAGATACCGGTGGCAGGAAGATGCTGAACTTAGTAGCCATTGACACTGAGCTCTGCTTTATTCCATCCGCCCCTCTCCTTAGTCTTTCTCATTGGTACCCTTTCCCAACCCAGTCACCCCGTGCTGGGGAGGCTAATGTTAAGCAAGGCTCATTTTCCCTGGCTTGTGGCTTCTGGGTCTGGTGCAGTAAGCCTGGTGTAGCCTCCAGGGAATTACAGTGGCTTTCTCATTAACAGTGAGGGAACAGAGGCTAATGTGGCTTGCCCAAGGTCACAGAACTGGTCACTTCCACGGTATGTTCTAAAATATCTCTGAGGACTTGCACCAGGCTTGTGACAATTTGCAGAGATTAGTGAAGGGACCCTTAAAGCTACAGTCACTGTCTGACCCACCAGCTGTCGTCAGAGTCTCCACATTCTCAGATGTCAAGGTTACCTGTGTCCACATCCCCTGGCCCCTTGCACAGTGGCAATCTTTCTGAAGCAGCCTGCTGTTCGTGGAGCCCCCTGGGGGTGACCAAGGCAGGGGAGTACCTGCTGGAATCTGGATGTTGTCCCCTGACTTCCAAGAGCCCTTTCTAACCCTTTGGCTGCCCCTTCAACAGGTGCCTTCCATCCCTCTGTTGCCATGAAGATTGCAGTCATCGGACAGAGCTTGTTTGGCCAGGAGGTTTACTGCCAGCTAAGGAAGGAGGGACATGAGGTGGTGGGTGTGTTCACTATCCCAGACAAGGATGGGAAACCAGACCCTCTGGGTGAGTGACAGCTCAGGGAAAGGAGGAGGGTAGGGGGAAGCCCATCTGCAGGGCAGAGGCACTATAGTGGGCAGGTGGGTAAAGTAAGGGGTCTCACAGTGCAGCCCTTGCTAGAGAGCACTTACATACCTTCTACTCTAAATCCACACTAATGCCAAGTGACTGCTGGACTGTCCTGGAATAAAGTAACACACACACACACACACACACACACACACACACACACACACCTACCTGTGGGGTAGGATCTGTGTCCTGTCCAAGGGCCATGGAGAAGCCAGCTTGTCCTATGTACCTCTCTGATCATCTGTGAACCAAGCATCTAGGCTCTTAAGGGCTCAGGGACATGCTTCATGTCACCATTTCTGAGGCTCTCTTTGCCCTGAGTGCTCAGCCCACCAGAACCTGGTAAAGTAAAGTGGGTACGGCTGAAAGGTTTCCCTGTTAGCATCTTTTGGGTGCCTCTACCTCCTGGGGAAGGAGCCACTTGAGATTCACAGTCCTGGACCTTCGCTTGGAAGCAGGTGCCCAGTACACAGGATGCTCCATATGATGAACCGATCCTCCAGCCACTCATCAGTCCTTGTCGGGCCTGATGGGACTGTAGGACATGGCTTAACGAAGGGAAACTGAGGGTAGGAGGCAGAGCAAGCAGCCACAGTTTGACCTCTGGATTCTGCTCTAATGCTGCTGTTGCCTGCCTGGCCTCAGCCCTGCACCTGACCCCAGCATGATATACATGACCCCACAGCCTGAGCTCTGCAAGCAGACACTAGCTATGACTAGACAATTCCTGCTCCCAGCATCAGCCCACGCCTGGTTGGGACCACTGCTTGGCCTTGACTGCAGATGGCCTGCAGGAGTGTCTCACTGGCCAAAGGGAGGATACTTTAGAAGTATATTCTGGCCTCCTCTCATCACGGCTGGTTACAATGCATCTGAATCAGAAACAGAGATGTGCCCTGGTGTTCAGCTGGCTTCCTTTATTTCCCCTTTTTATTTATCCTGGGAGCCAGTACATGGGATGCTGTGTCCACATTCCAAAGAGTCTCCTCTTTTCAGTTAACACCCCGGAAACACCCTCCTACTGATTCCAAACCCAGTGACCTTGACAATGAAGATTAGCCCTCACATCAGGACACAGCGGCAGAGATGAAGACAGACAACAGGGTCAGGCCAGTCAAGGGAATTCTCTCGAGAGATTTGCTAAGGACATTTGTAAGCACTGAAGAACTGAAGGTCAAAGAAAGCCCTGCAGGGTTGGGGCTGTGCCTTCCAGAGGCAGCTGCTACCTCCTGGCCAAGGATGGGGGGGGCTGGGGCTGCATAGGAAATTGAGCCTATGATTCAGGCCTGGAAAGAGGCAGGAGGAGCCCTGAAGGCCGGGTCTGGGTCTCCAGGTCACAGGTGTGAGGCCAAGTCTGCTGACTGGGACCGGAGATTCAGTGGCTGTTCTGGGAGGGAACTCTTGTGGCTGGGGGGAAGCACCGGGCTAGGGTGGTGGCCAGAGGACAGGAAGGATTAAGACCTTTCCCACCCCTCTTGACCTCCTCCCTCCAGGCCCTTCACCCCCTCCTGGTGAAGGAACAGTTGACAGGCATAAATATGGCTTCCAAGGGACCCCAGTGTCCAAGAAAGAGATGTGAGGAGGAGAGAGAGAAGGGAGGAAAGAAAGAAGAGAGAGATGGTGAGGTAGAGGAGGAGAAAGACACAGTGTTGGCCATGTCTGGGCCTCTGGAGAGGACTATGAGGACAGTGGCTACTGGGGACCTGTGGGACCTGAGCAAGGGAGGCACATTCAGTAGGAGGTAGCATCCGGGCAGGAAAGTCCCTACCCATCACTCACTCTTGGCCAGCATTGGCCCACCTTCATCCTGGTAGAACCTTGCTGGGCAGTGAGAACAGAGAGGTAAAAGACGCCAAGAACAGGCCAGCGGCCACTTCTCTAGGAAGGCACAGCTGACAATGTATGGGTGGCATAGAGAGGACAATTTCTCACCTACTCCCTCCACAGGCCTGGCGGCTGAGAAGGATGGTGTGCCTGTGTTCAAGTTCTCTCGGTGGCGTGCTCAAGGACAGGCTTTGCCCGAGGTGGTGGCCAAGTACCAGGCTCTGGGCGCAGAGCTCAACGTGCTGCCCTTCTGCAGCCAGTTTATCCCCATGGAAGTCATCAACGCCCCCCGGCATGGCTCCATAATCTACCATCCATCTCTGCTACCCAGACACCGAGGGGCCTCAGCCATCAACTGGTAAGATGGGATCCATCCCCAGTCTGTGTGATATGTCTCCCTTCTTGGCCTGAAACACCCCTCTAGAGCGGTCAACTGTATTGCACGGGTGCCTGCCCTGCTCTGCCATATGTCACTCTGAACCACAGTGAGGAGTGTTAAGACAGCATGCTTGCCAGGCGGTGGTGGTGCACACCTTTAATCAGTACTCAGGAGACAGAGGCAGGCAGATCTCTGTGAGTTTGAGGCCAGCCTGGGCTACAGAGTGAGTTCTGGGATAGGCAGGACTACACAGAGAAACCCTGTCTTGAAAACAACAACAACAAAAAGACTGCATGCCTTGCAGGGGTGGGGACAGGAGCTCCACTGATGTCACACTGCAGCAAGGCAGAGAGAGTAAGGGGGGGGGGTTGTACTAAGATATCACAGAGGCTGCAGAGGTCAGGGTTCTGTATGTTCACCTCACCTGTCATGAGGCTGTTCCCTAAGGCAGCGCAGCTTTTGGCATGCGGCTGGCAAGGTCATAAACTGTTTCCTTCTTTCCCTTTCCTACAGGAGCAGGTGTCAGCCCTTCCTGGGGAGGAGGTGGCCTCCTGGAGGGTGGCAGGGGCCAAGGGACAGCTCCCAGGGTATCCTCTGTGACACTTATTATAAGACTGAGATTTCCCTCCTGCCCCCCCCCAGGACCCTCATTCATGGAGATAAGAAAGGGGGCTTCAGCATCTTCTGGGCTGATGATGGCCTGGACACTGGGGACCTTCTGCTCCAGAAGGAGTGTGAAGTACTTCCGGATGACACCGTGAGCACCCTGTACAACCGTTTCCTCTTTCCGGAGGGCATCAAAGGGATGGTAAGGCTGAGAGCTGGCTACCCCTGCCCTCCCACCACCCAGCTATCCTAACACAAGCTCTCCATTCTTGGCTCCACTGGTCTTCCCTAGATGTGGGTACTGATCCCAGCTGGCCAGGTACCACCCCACCCCTAATTTCAGAACTCTTCAGGATCTCAAAAAGATGAGATAATGAACATGAAGAAACTGTGGGCAGAGTGGGCAGAGCCCAACTCAAGAGGGTGTTCCCACATGGGCATTTTTGGCTGGGGCCATTGCCTAAACAAGTTCTGAGGCAGCATAGGCCCGGTGTGATTGAGCCCCAGTCACCTCTGTGTCATGGGGTTCTCACACCCACCATTTGGTCTCTTGTCTGTTTAGTTCACTTTACCCTCAGATCAGGTGCCCAGCATGAGAGAAGAGATCATTGAGCTTTAAGTCCAAGTTTTCAGTCCCTGTTCCATGGAGTGATAAACCCCACTTCTCCAAGACACAATGACAAATGATTAATTTGTCTGATTGGACAGCTTGGGGTCATGTGGCTATCCTGACCCAGTCACTAGCCAGGGAATGGCCTATTCTGATTTGTGGAGGGGAGGTCTCTGCAAACAGCCAGCAGAGTGTCCATCCAGGGGAGGCAAGAAGGAAATTTGGTTCAGTATGACTCAGTATCCAGTGTGGGTTCAAACTTTGAGAGTCTGACCCTGAATAGTTTATTTTAGGCATGTTTAAGAACAGCACAATCTGGTGAAAAACTTTTCTGATGATAATTAAATCAATCACGTGTGCACAATAAAGCTTATTGAAACTTAGTGAAGTACACGTGATACCTTCCATAAAGATGGGTTGTGTGGACTGAGGAAAAACAGCTCATGATAAGAGTCTGGGGAAGGATCCAGTGTGATCTCAGCCACACAGACAGCACAAATGTTACCAGGCTGTTAACCACCTCGTCTCCAAGCCTTCTGGGCAGAAAACCAGTTATACATCTGTTTGAAGAGACAAGCCTGTGTGTTTAACATTCCTGATTTCCCTAGTGCGTGTCTACAAACACAAGGACCTGTGTGCCTCCTCCACTGGTTGGCTGCCCCAGTCGTATATATCCTGCTATGGTCAACTGGGGAGGATAGCCATTCAATTGCAATGATGTCCCAATTTCTCCAAGGGCAGGGCTATGGAAAGACAAGAAAAGACATGGATGCCACTTATAGCTGGTGGTCCGACAGGCCATGTGTACCTGCATAGGCTGCTGTTGTTCCAGCCTGGAGAGTAGGCTAGTGAGACAGCACCAAAGCCATGGATATTCAGGTCAGGAAGTTTCCAGACAAAAAGCCTTGTCCTATGGCAGTGAGCAAGGTGTCAGCCACCAAATACCACTACAAGCTACAAGCCATCTGCCCCCTAACTTCAGTCCTTTGTCACATCAGCTGTCCTTTGCCTTTAATGTTTTCATTGTGACAAACAGTAGCGAGCAAAGCTACCTTGTCAGTTACTTAGCCTGAGACAATAGGATTTCACATCCATAGCAAATGGCTCAGATGGCCATTAAGCTACAACTGTTTGCATGTGTCTATTTAAAATAATTGTGATTAATTTCCATAGAAATTTGGGGACAGGATACAGCTCTGTAATACAGTTATTTCTTTGTATGGGAAGACTCTGTGTTCCATCCATGCATTACAACTCTCTCTCTCTCTCTCTCTCTCTCTCTCTCTCTCTCTCTCCTCCTCTCTCCCTCTCTCTCTCTTTCTCTGAAGTTCCCAGGAACTGCAAAGTTCCGGCCATTGGACAAGGTTGTGCAAACACATCCCCAAGTTTATGGCATATTCCACAAGGCAGCTCTGCACTACAGTTTCTGACACCGTTTCTTTCCTTTAATTTTTTCTATTTATTTATTTATGAGTGTTTATTTGTTGTATTGTGTTTGCCTGCATGTGTGTATGTATACCATGGACATCAAAAGAAGGCATCAGATTCCCTGGACATGGAGTTACAGGAGGTTGTGAGCTGCCACATAAGTTCTGGGGATCAAACCCAGGTCCTTTTACAGGAGTAGCCTGAAGTAATACTTTCTTGTTGGGACCACCAGCCCTCGAATGACATGGAGACTTATTAGTAACTCTGAAAGCTTGGCCTTTAACTTAGGCTTTTCCCCAACTAGCTCTTATAACTCAAATTAGCATGTTTCTATTAATTTCTACTAATTTATGTTTTGCTACATGGCTCATTTTCCTCCCCTCTGTACTGTATGTCCAACTTGCTCTGCATTTCTCCTTCCCAGAGTTCTCCTTCTCTCCTTCTGAAATCCCGTCTATTCTCTCCTGCCTGGCTGTTGGCCGTTCAGCTCTTTATTAAACCAATCACAGTGGCATATCTTCACACAGTGGAAACAAATATTCCTACACAGCAGCCAGTGCTCTCAACTGCTGAGCCACCTCTCCAGTTCCTTGACACTCTGTTTCTTGCCAACAACAGCTCCCCTGCATCCTCCCTCAGGGTGGGTTGCAGACTCCTTTTCACTCCTCAGTTTGGACTCCAGAGAGCTACTTTACTGCAGATGTCCAAGCCCACATCAGGGTTCAGGGTCTATTCTCCTTCAAGACAGTTCTAGACAGCAACACAGGCTATGTGTCTATTATTCCTGGTGGGGCTTGGCAGTTTCCTCACCTAGAGATGTCGAAAGTCTAATCTAAAGCCATGAGGTGTTGCTGATGGTCTGTGTGTCATTCCACCTCCCAAACCCTGTCACCCACACCCCGTGTCCATGCTGTAGAGGTTCTCAGGTGCCTGCAGTGTGAGGACCAGGGTGTGAGCAGGACCCTAATGCAGGGGAAGCTGACTGTAGAGTCTCCTTGCAGGTGCAGGCTGTGCGACTGATCGCAGAGGGCACAGCCCCCCGCCTCCGCCAGCCTGAGGAAGGAGCCACCTATGAGGGCATTCAGAAGAAGGAGACGGCCAGGGTAAGTACCAGCCCCAGCTACCCAACATGCTTGTGAGTGGCTGGAATGCAGAAGTGGCTCAGGGAAGCAAGGTGCAGCTGACAGTAATAATAACAGCAGTGGAGCATGGGGTTACAGCAGAGCATGGGGAGTGGAGGAAAGGAGACGGTCCTGTTTCCCTTTAAGTTGGGAAGGAGAAGGAGGAGGGCTATGGGTAGATATCAGCCTTAGTGTCAGGATTTCCAAGACCTTGTCTGAGAGGTTTCATGGAGCCACAGCAGGTAGCAGTCCCATGGCTGTCTCTGCTTGGGACTGTATGGAGGTCTGCATGAGCCCTGTATACATGAAGATGGTGTGGTAGGTCTCTATAGAATGAGCCTGGGCACTAGTCCCAGGGACTCTGTGGGACCTTCTTGACAACAGTAGATAGCCTCTTCCCAAAGCCATTCTACAGACCTTGCTGCCTGGGAGAGACCTGGAGTCAGAGCCCCAAACCAGGACACCCAGTCTTTACTCATGCCCAACACCAGGAGGAAGCCCAGACCATACCTGCAAGACTAGACCCACTGTGAAGGAGCCCTCAGGGGACTAGGAGAGGCTAAGTGAGGACACAACATCTTGGTCCCCACAGATAAACTGGGACCAGCCAGCAGAGGCCATTCACAACTGGATCCGTGGGAATGACAAGGTGCCAGGTGCCTGGACAGAGGCTTGTGGGCAGGTATGTTTCCATGAGGTTGGTGATGAGTGGGAGATGCTGCTTACCCCATCCTGTCAGCTGGAAAACTGCCCACTAGGTTTGAAATGCTTAACACATTCTATAGCCTTAATTCTACATCCTCCCAAATGCCCCCTTCTCCAGGACTAGGAGATCCTATACTGCTCAGAACTAAAATAACATGTCTGCTGCCATTGGTGCCCCAGGAACCTGCTGAAACCCTGGACCCCAATGAATTGGTTGTTAAATAGCTTGAGCCTCACCCCTATGCTCTCAGATGTCACAAGCCCAGCTCTGACTTTGCCCCAGGGGAGAGACAACTTACTTGGAGCTGGGACTGGACTTATGATAAGGAAGTGCAGGTTTTGTGCACCCCTCAAAGTCATCCTGATGTCCATACAGTCTGCTATCTAGTTCCCTAACCCCCAACTCACTGTAAAACCACACAGAGGTTCCTTCACTGGCACACAACCTTTTGCTCCAGTGGGTTTGTCTGCAGCAACAGCCAGCAGCTGCCAAGGGTCAGTGGGCTCTTGCGTACATTAAGAAGATTTTCATTCCAAAGCTACACAGAGAAACCTTGTCTCTAAAAACCAAAAAAAAAAAAGATGATATTCCTGGGGGTCTCTGCCCCTGAGGTCTGAGGCTCTGGTTCAGTGCAAAGGCCTCAAGGATACCTGAGGCTTGAGGTATCCAGGTCCTTAGACTTTCTAGGTCTTATCTGTGTCCCCAAAGACTGAGTCTAGGTCCTACTCAGGCTTTTGTGTCACAGTTCCTCTGAGTCTCTCCTGTTCCCCCTGAAGGCTGGTTGTAGGCCCAGTCAGGCTTGCACACTCTAAGGTCACCCCACCCACCCATACCACTTAGCCTTCTCAATCCTGTGAAGCTACAGCCGGGCTGCATGCGGCAGGGCCTCATCTTACCTGTTGTCTCTTGGCTTCTCTGACTCCATAGAAGTTGACATTTTTCAACTCAACACTCAACACTTCAGGCCTGGTAGCCCAGGGAGAAGCTTTGCCCATCCCAGGAGCCCATCGTCCAGGCATGGTCACCAAAGCTGGACTCATCCTCTTCGGGAATGATGATCGAATGGTAAGGTGACAGCACACTGCTGTGAGTCACTTGCCTGCATTATAGGTTCAAGGTCACTCACACTGCTGTCCTTGGAGTAAGATCCTACAGGAAGATGCCAGGCTGCCCTAGAAGAAACAGAAAGAACCAAGAGTCAAGAAAACAGTCCCAATCTGAGCACAGGCTGTGTGAGGTGGGACTGGACCCTCTATGTAACAGAAATCCTTTCAATTAGCCCTGGCCTTGGACTTTGCATATGTTATCAAGGCCAGGTCTTTAAACCCCTGGGCCTCTATGTGGATGGCGTAGTGACTTGGTCCAGACAGCTGCTGGTCTCTGGTGGATATTATTGGACTTTGCATATCAGAAAAGTAGCTGATTGAATGAAGTCTACTTGGGTACTAACCACTGTTTTAAAACAACAAATAGGCATTACATTTCATCTTCCAGACAGCCCTATGAAAAAATTATAGATATTATTTGCATATTTCAGAAAAGTAAACTGCAATGCAAAGACTTAAAAGGGCCACCCAAGCTAGTCAGTAGCAGAGCTGGGCTTCAGAGCTAAATTCTGACTCTGAGGCCATTATGGCCCTGAGACTCCACTCACACACAATACTGGGCTGAGAAGAGGCAAGGATCCCAACATTTAGCAACCTTGACAGTGTGAGTGTGGGTAGGGTGGAGTGTGGAGAATCATGCTGTCTGACATGGCTCTCTCTCAGGACTCACATGTCACATTGTGCCTCCAGACAGGCCAAGGAGAGGAGTAGGTTCAGCAAAGTTATGAGGTCAGAAATGGGCTTGTCTGATCCAGGAGTCTCTGAGTATGTGTAACTTGTCTCTGCCCTGCACGTGTGCATGCAAGCCAGCATCTGTTGTTCTCGTCCTTGGGGTAGTGTGGAGGGCCTTGGCCTCTCCTCCGATTACAGGTGCTTTCCCATCAAGATCAGCAAGTGGGGAGCATGCAGTAGGCTGCCAGCAGCTGGTTCCTTGCAGCAGCTGGAGGCTGGTGTTAGCATTTATGAGGGGGTTCCCAAGGGCCCTGGCTGCTCCTGCCACTGTAGCCATGCAAACAGTAGAACACAGAAGCATTCAGGAAGCATGTCTCAGGCTTGTATGCTGAGTCTAGCTAGGCTTCTGCTTGCTGAACGTTCTAGAACATCTCCTAAAGCAATTGGATTAACTCTATAGACCTTGCATCCAACCCTGGTTGCCTGGACTATAACGGGTGCAGAATGTGGCTCTAGAATGTTATGTCTACCTAAGATTTGTCAGATTTTATAATGTAATGTATGAGCTATTTGAACCCTGATGGCTCATAAATAGTTGTTTAATCAATATTAGAAGGGGGAGACAAGATAAGTAATTTTGGGTGAACTGGCAGCAGGCTGGCATGTCTCCATTGATAAGGGTGAGCCAGTGGGCATTGCACACTCTTCACAGTTTCTGCCTGAAGATCTGCCCCTAAGAGTGCAGACTATAGGTTTACAGGACTCTCCTTGTATCCTTTCCTCTCTCCACCTGTGTCCAGGCAGGAATTTGTCCTATAGATGTTTCTGTGAGCTTCTGGCAATAATCACATGATTAAGGATCCATCTTTTATTGACTTTCATGATAGTTCTGCACGCTTTCTGTTTTTTTTTTTTTTCCTGATGATAAACTGTCCTTTTTAATAGAAATTACATCATTCAACAAAAGAAAGCACTCAGCCTGTGGTACTCAGTGGTGAGGGCCTACCTGACATGAGAGGGTCACTAGGTCTCTCTCTCTCTCTCTCTCTCTCTCTCTCTCTCTCTCTCTCTCTTACACACACACACTGCACACAGAGATTCTAGAAAGCAAGCAGCAAGCACAATGTGGTAGGTAATGAACAATTAGGATAAAGGACGGACACAGGCTATGTGGTCTCTTCTGGGACAGTGTGTCTCAGATCCGAACACTCCTGTCATTTACCTGGGCTTCCTGCTCCCTCTTGGCTGTGAGGGTTGGAGGGAGAGAGTGAGTGTCCTACTCAGCTCTCCACCCTGCCATAGTCCTACTGAAGTTCTCTCTCTTTTGCAGCTACTGGTGAAGAATATCCAGCTGGAGGATGGCAAGATGATGCCAGCCTCCCAGTTCTTCAAAGGGTCTGCTAGTAGTGCCCTGGAGCTGACAGAGGCAGAGCTAGCCACTGCAGAGGCTGTGCGGGTAAGAGACACCTTCAGTGGTAACATCCGGTCAGACAGGTGTACACTGCATTGTGTTTTGTGGGTTCACTTTCCCTGGAGTTGGGAATACGTGCTGACCTTGGAGACAGCACTGACTCTGTCCTCTGTTGGCACTTTCTGATGTCCCTGGGCTCTTCTTCCTTTGTACCTGGGACCCTTGGATTTGGGTCCTCCGAATCTGGCTTTTCTAGGGACCCACTGCCAACAGTTAACAAATGAAACCATCAGCTTTGTAATCGTTAAAGGAAGAGGTGCTTAACCCCATCATCTGTGATGAGTGTGTGGTCTGGAACTGGCCCAGAGAGGGCACTAACACAGTAACACCTGAGTGGTGACCAGCACAAGCTTCAAAGTCAGGTCCCCCTTCCAGCTTAGTCCCTACATGGTCTAGAGGTATTTTCCTTCTAAGAGCTTGGTTGTCTAGGCTGAAACTGGGTCAGTGACCACATCCCAGGATCTGTTCCTGGCCCTTCCCACTGTGTCTCCCTGTCTCTAGAGCCATGTGTGGTACTGAGCCTTGTTGAGCAGTCAGGGGATTGAGGACAGCTGCTCCTCTGCCTGTGATGGCTCTGTCCAGATAAACCTGCCTGGGAGCCGAGCCTTGCAAGCAGAACCCGAGTTTAGTGCACAGAGCTACTAGTAGCGCGTACGGTGGGGCATGGTTGATGTGGCCATGGGCTGCCTGGGAGCTGCAGTTCGCCCCACTCCAGGCATCTGGAGAGGATCCCACCATATGGGTAGCCTAGAACAAAAAGCCCCAAATGCCAAATTCCACACGAGCTTCATGTGTGTCCCTTACCTAACAAGTCCTGCCCTCACACTACGTGAGGAAGGGAGTGTCGAGTCCTCATAGGCTAAGGGACTTAGGAACACTTACTGAGCTCCTCCCAATTGCCAGGCGGTGGGTGGGTAGGGTGGGTGAAGCTGCCCTACACGTGTAGAGCTCCCAGCTGCGCAGATGGCGAACTGACTTCGGGAGACACTGCAGAACAGGGGCTGCGAGACAAGGCCTTGGAGCTTGGTTCAGCATTAGATGGAGGGAAACTGAGAGCTGGGCACAAAGAAAAGATCTGGAGAAGCCTTAGGGCAGAGGAGCATAAGTCCAGGGGACAGACGGCGCCACGGGTGCAGGGACACCACAGGTGCAAGGACAGCTCTGTTTGAGGAGGCCACCACTGTCATGACCCAGGAATAAGAGGGAACTGAATGGCAGTGGTCAGGTCACAGCTGGGACCCTTGGTGTTATAGCACTGAAGAGCAAGACTCTACAAGAGACAGACAGGAAGTGCCACGTCATCCAGGACAGCAGAGAGCCAGCATCTTCCCCAGGAATGCCAGGCACTGTGAATGTCCAGGAGGAAGGGAGGAGGGAAGGAGGAGCTCCACATTTCTAGCTTTAACAACCCCCCCCCAAAAAAAAAACAAGAAACAAAGCAAACAAAGATGTTTCCAGAATATTCCTGGAGGTTCTGTGGCTCTGGCCCTGCCTTGGAGCCTGCCTGGGGTTACTGGGCCAGCTGGACCAATAGATGCTAGCTAACAATAGCTACCGTGGAGGCCTGTGTGATGGGGTGAAAGTCCTCCAGGTGGATGTTGTGACTGGGCACTTCAGTCTGGTATCTGTTAGGAATAGCCATCCTGCAATGACCACTGGTTGGCTTCTGTAAGTTGGGGTGTTGGCAGCTGGGCTGGTGGCCCTGACAGCTCCTCACTTGCCCAGTAGGCCACCAGCTGGTTCTGTTACACTTTAGAGGTCCCAGATCAGAGGAGTGCTAGCCACCCAGTATCTCAGAGCAACAGCATTCAGGTCCATGAGGCCCTCACTGTGCCGGGCCTTCACGTCATAAGCATCCCATGCTGCCATGTTCTGGGGACACCAGAACTCTGACAGCTGCACCAAGGCCATGCATGAGCCTTTCTGATACCCATCCATCTTCCACTGCCTGCAACTGTTCCGGGAGACCAACCACGTGGCAGGAGGCCAGCAGCCTAGTGTCATTGTGGCCAGAGCTATGGCCCACTCTGGGCCCTTGGGTAGATACAGTGCCTTGAAGACCCTTAGCAGAGCCCTTAACCAGCGGTGAGAATAACACCCTACTTCACCAAGCACCTCTGACTGTCATGGCCTTTGTCTTTCAGAGCTCTTGGATGCGAATTCTGCCCAACATCCCAGAGGTAGAAGACTCCACAGACTTTTTCAAGTCAGGGGCTGCATCAGTAGATGTTGTGAGGTAAGGCCATGGGTACTGGGGTCCCTTCCAAGTATCTATTATAGGTCCACTGAGGCCACTGTTGGTTGTACTTATGTACCATGCACAAGGAGATCAGAAAGGTCCCCGTGGACAGAAATGAACTGCTGTAGAATCTGGGCCCAAATGTCTATTCCCAAGCTGGTCTCTCATCTCAGAAGGGTTGCTGGTGCCCAGCTGTTACTACTGACCCCTGGCTGATGTGGCCTATGGCAGACTGGGGACTTGGGCTCACATATAGTGGCTCATAGTCCTGAGAGTGTTAGTACCAGCCAGGGAGGCAGATGTGGTGATTTGGGAAGCTCACTGTGTCACAGCTTCTGTCTGGATGATTCCTGGCCATCCCAAACCAAGGGTGGGGACAGAGAGCTGACCCCTTCTCCTCCCCCCAAAAGGAGGGTGTGAACATAATCCCAGGCTGACAGCCACCCATGTACTTTGTGTGTGTGTGTGTGTGTGTGTGTGTGTGTGTGTGTGTGTGTGTGTCTACCTCTGGGGGCAAGAATTGAGTCGACAGTCTTCTTCCCACATTTGAGAAGAGGTGTTGCTCTCCTGGGAAAGGTGCATTTGTGAAAAGGATATATGGGCCGAAGCAGCAGGAACAGTGCTGTCTGTCATGTTCAGGGAGGAGCAGCTTATCTTTGAAGAATGTTCAAAAGATGAGGCGCTTAAGTGGGGAAGGCTTGTGCACAGAAAGGAGGAAGGGCCTGCTGTTTAATGCTGTGTGCCTAGACTTCTCCAGGAAACACCATCTGAGCGCTTCCATTACTTCCTCAGTGAAGGCATTGCTAATGAGTGGAGGAGCACTGCTAATGAGTGGAGGAGCACTGCTAGTGAATGGAGGAGCACTGCTAGTGAGTGGAGGAGCACTGCTAATGAGTGGAGGAGCACTGCTAGTGAGTGGAGGAGCACTGCTAATGAGTGGAGGAGCACTGCTAGTGAGTGTGGGAGCACTTCTAGTGAGTGGAGGAGCACTGCTAGTGAGTGTGGGAGCACTTCTAGAGAGTGGAGGAGCACTGCTAGTGAGTGGAGGAGCATGGGAACAGATGGGAGATGGCCCTGGAGGTTTTCCTGTCTTCAAAGCCTGTAGTCTGGGGCTATTGGAGTCTTCCAAAAGGAAGTTCTGGGTAGGAACTGGAGACAGAGGGTGAAGAGGACTATATACTTGATTTGTACATACTTTTTCCCAAACTATGTCCTTTGAAGGTTATTAATAATCTATCAGTTATCAACTGTCATCCATGGTGTTGTCTCATAGAATCACAACAAAATTTGAGAGAGGCTGTTCTATTATTGTTTTATGGATGATAAAAATCAAAGGCTCAAATTCAGTAGCTAGTACCCACAGAGTGAGAGTTTGGAACCAAGGCCTTCTGCATCCAGAGCCTGGGTCCCCACCCTACTGCCAGGCTTATGAGCCCTGCTCATGACTGTCCAGGCCACCTCCTCTTACACAGGAGCCACAGGGTCTGCTGAGCCTTTGCCCTCCTTCTCTTCCCTTCAGACTGGTGGAGGAAGTGAAGGAGCTGTGTGATGGGCTGGAGTTGGAAAATGAAGACGTTTACATGGCTACCACCTTTGGGGACTTCATCCAGCTCCTAGTGAGGAAGCTGAGAGGGGAGGACGAAGACAGCGAGTGTGTCATCAACTATGTGAGTGCTGCCCTGGGCCTGTAGACCCACTGCGACACCTTGCTCCCTCCCCAGCACCAGGAACCCAGGAGCCTGGTACCCACCCTCCAGTTTCACCAGCCCTGGGTACGCAGCGAATATTGCTGTCCAGCACCCAGAGCGTGGGCAAATCCCACATCTCAAACTCTAGAGAGGAAAGGCTTCTTTCCCAGTGAGGAGGGCAGTCAACCCTGCATGCTCAGCTTGTACAAAGGGGAGTGCCACAGTGACTGGAAATCCATGTATGAAAAAGTTCTTAAGCAGTCTCCCTTAGGGTAGCCTAGAGGAGTGGGTTTCTGGGTACCTTGTTCACCTGGTGGTTTGGAACAAAAGTTGGGCGAGTGGAGGTGGCCTAGGTGGGTGCTCAGTCACCTGTAGGACAGTGGACAAATAGCCCATGGAAAGATTTCGGCATGGGGCTGGTGTTCGTGGCACTCCTGGGTTCAGAGTGGAGAAGTCAATGTAGGAGGTAACATGTCTGAGAGTAAACAGGACCTCCCCGCCCATAGCAAGCCACCACCTAGAACCCACCCCCCACTAGCCCAGTGTCACAGGAGAACCTAGCAGAGCTGGGCCTCCAGCCCTGACACTGCCTGGGTCTGTCTAGGACAGCCCCTGGAGCCTCAGCCTTTGTGTGGCGTGTACATCCCTCTGTGTGTCCCTGGGCATGTGCTTGTCACAGATGCCGGTGTGAGAGACCCGTTGTGACTGAGCCTTCCTCCCTAGGTGGAAAGGACAGTGAACAAGCTGACTCTTCAAATGCCCTACCAGCTCTTCATCGGGGGCGAGTTTGTGGATGCCGAGGGCTCCAAGACCTATAACACCATCAACCCAACAGATGGCAGTGTGAGTTCGGGCTGCAGCCCTGTCCTTCCCACCATCCTCGGACCTGGCTTCTAAGGGCACTGGCCAGAGGCCTGTGCTTGGATGTGTGTGTCTTTGTTACGGATGGACGTGAAGGGGTCCAACCTAGGCCACAGGAATGGAGGAGAGCAGGGCAACTGGGGGAGGGGAGAGGAGGCAGGAGAGTACGGAAGAACCAGAATATGCTTTAGAGACTGAGGACTGAGGGCGCTTAAGAGCCATTGCTCCCCTCCACACTGCAGCTGTCCCTCTTGTGTGGAGGACACCATCAGCAAAGTCTTCCTCAAATATAACCCTGTGTTTGCCAAACAGTCTTTACTGTGAAGCTCTCGTGCCATGACCCAATGTGTTTGCCACATCAACAAAAGACCACACACCTAAAGGTCTCTGAGATGAGACCGGCACAGGGATGACTTCCATATGTGGTACCCACTCAGTCCTACAGAAAATAGAGCAGCTTAAAATGGGTCATCTGGGGGAAGCTGACAAAATGAATTTCAGGGGGCAGGCAGGATGGATGGCGCCCTCAGGATGCCACCCTTGCAAGTGTGACATGGACAGGGCTGCCTGCCAGTCCCCAGGGCCTTGGATAGGAAGGGCAAGGATGTTCATGGTAGCCTACCAGGGGATGCTGCCTCGCTCCTCTGCCTGGCCCCCTGACTCCCCTTGGCTACAGCCACATCCCACAGGACCTATCCAGCCAGGAATGTGACTGGAACGAGGATACAGAATCCCTGTGTGTAGAAGCCTTTCTGGCTCAGCTCACTGAGCCAGTGGATCTCAGCTTCCAGTGTGAACAGCACTAGACTGCCTGGGCTCCTCAGACACAGCTGGGGTGACCGTCAGCCCCTTTGTGCTCCATGTGAATGTGAGAGGGTGTGCAGAGACCTCAAGGTCCCACCCTCTTTGCCGTCTGATTCCTCCCTAGCCACCAGTGGCAGCACTTTCCCTCAGTGCCAGCCTACGTGGTGGGGACCCTGCCTCTGGGTGGCCTCAGGATGAGGCAAGGAGCCAGGGGAGACTGTCACATCTCTGTTCCTTCCACAGGTCATCTGCCAGGTGTCCCTGGCCCAGGTGAGTGATGTTGATAAGGCAGTGGCGGCAGCGAAGGAGGCCTTTGAGAACGGACTATGGGGGAAGATAAACGCGCGTGACCGAGGCCGGCTCCTGTACAAGTGAGTTATGAAACACCTGCTGTCCTCACCACCTTCAGCTAAGACAAGAGGTGGGGGCAGGGAGTAGGGGTGGGTGCAGCCTAAGGGTTAGAAGATGTCTTCAGAAGGGTTGGAGAGGCAGGGAAGGGATCCACAGCTAGCAGTGGCCTTAGAGGAAAAGTGCTGGGGGAGTAAAAAGCTGCAGAGGTGAGGCTGTGCTCTAGGGGGTGCTGTAGAGGCATAGCTCAGATGGGAACCAGCAAGGACTGGGGCCTCCAGGGAGAGGCGCTGGGTCCTGTCTGCTTGTCACTGCTCAGCCTGGCTACTAGCAGCTGGGACCCAGTGGTGGCATGTCTTCTTCTTTCAGGATTTTTAAAAGTATGTTATTAGTATGGTGTGTGTGTGTGTGTGTGTGTGTGTGATGTATATGATGTGTGTAGTGTATGATGTGTGTGGTATGTGTGTGTGGTGTAGTGTGTGTTGTGGTGTATGTGTTGCGCATGTATGTATGTGTGGTGTGTATGTGAGTATGTGATGTGTGGTTGTGTGGGGGTGGTATATGTATATGGTGTGGTATGGTGTAGTGCGTGTTGTGGTGTATGTGTTGTGTGTGTATGTATGTGTGGTGTGTATGTGTATATGTATGTGTGTATGTGATGTGTGGTGTGGGGGGTGGTGTATATGGTGTATATGGTGTAGTGCGTGTTGTGGTGTATGTGTTGCGTGTGTATGTGTGTGTGTGATGCGTATGCTTTCTACAATCAGTTCCCTCCTACTGCGGGTTCCAGGTATCAAACTCAGGTTGTTGGGCTTACACAGAAAAGGCTTTAGCCACTGAGCCATTTTGCTAGCCCACATCTTCCTCTCACTAATGTGTTTTAACAAGAGGAAGGGGCCCAACCCTGTAGTGCCAGCTACAAGTCTTGGATTTCTGGTTGCTTGAGCTAGTAACAAAGTGTGCAGGTATGAAGGCGCCTAGATGAAACCCTTGTACCCCTAGAGCCATGACCATGGTGTAGGGGACACAGCAGTACCCCTCGTTGATGCCAAACATATCTCTCATTTCCAAAGGGGCAAGACAGCTAACAGGAGTGGTCGTGGGGAACATGAGTCCAGATGCCCCAAATGACATGTTCCAACATGAAAGCAGTTCCATGGATTTTAAAACCTTTGTGTATGTCTGTGTGTGTTGGTGTGTGTGCATGCTCATATGTGTGATGTGTTGGTGAGTGGGGGTCAGAGGGCAACCCCAAGTGTGATCCCTGATCATCTACCTTGTTTGATACAGGGTCTCTTGGGGTTTGTTTTGTTTTGTTTTGTTTTTTGGTTGCATATGCCAGGCTAGCTGACTCCCAAGCTCCTGGGAACTCTCCTGTCTGTTTCTGCCTCCCATCTCACCACAGGCATACTGGGATCCCATCTCACCACAGGCATACTGGGATCCCATCTCACCACAGGCATGCTGGGATCTGAACTAAGGTCCTCAAAATTGCACAGCAAGTGTTTTATGCACCGAACCCTTAGTGAGGTTTTACAGCTATACCATAATAGAAAGCTATAGATCAAGAAAATTTTAAAAGTACAGAAATAGAGTCAGACAGATGACTCAGCCATTAAAAGTACATGCTGCTCTTGCAGATGACCCAAGTCAATTCCCAGCACCCACTGGGAAGCTCACAACCACTAATTCTAGGGGGTTCTGAAGCCCTCTTCTGGCCTCTGAAGGTACTGCACACACATGAAGTACCTACATATCTTCAGGCAAACATGCACATAAAATAAAAATAAGTAAGTCTTACAAGAAAAACATTCCCACAGCAGTAGAAGCACCAGGTGAAGGGGCACAGCAAAGGGGGATATCTCTGTTGTAAGTCCCAGATGATGTCTGAAGACATCTCTAACTTTGGGGTTAATGGAAGCTAGCGGTCTGATATATTCACATATTTCAAAAGGTTTCACCTGGGAGTCACAGTGATGTGACTGTGGCTAACTCGGGGACCAAAATTAGCCTGTGACAGTTTGGCTTGGGATCTGCAGCAGTCCAACCTTCCACAACCACCCATTCTATTCAGTCCATCTGCCTTGGAAAACCACTAATCTGCCATGGCTTCTCCCCAGGCAGGGAACTCCAGTTCACACTCTGTACTAGGGAGTGATATTTCCAGAAGCAGGGGGTAATGGAAAGATGAACCAAGCAGACTCGGAGGAAGCCAGTTGAATCTGCCCGACTTTTTTCTGTGTCCTTGGAAGTCCCTGAACAGTGTGAAGCCCAGTTTTGATGCTGGCCTACCTGGATTTGTCTGCTGACAGGTGGGAGAGCATGGCTCTCCTGTACAAGTGGTGTTCCGTTCCGTCTGTTCCTGTAGCCAGATATTCCAGGTGGCACAGCAGCGGGGAGCCAGAGAGAGCCCTAGGTGGCATGGAGAATAGAACAGGACTGGGGAGTTGGGGCAGACAAGGCTGAGGAGATACGCCTTGATGAGGTTTCCAGACTCCCTGAAGAAGCCATGGATTTTAGGGCGAGTCAGCTAGTGACCCCATGGTTCCCAGACCTGGCAATGGTCTCAGTTGTGAAACTCCAGACACCCTTGAACCTTAAACAGCTGGAAGCCATCCTCCCTGAGGTGATCTTCTGCCACCTGGTGGCCACTGTTACAACAACCCCTGCTTCCTCACCATGACAGTGCCAGCCCCTAAGAGGAAACTGACTCTGGTAATGGAATGAACATCTCCAATGATCCCTGCTGTGTATGTGCTCAGCTAGCTCAGCTCAGCAGGCCTGGGGCAGGCAGCACAGTCCTTCTGGAGAAGTAGCTGTAGAGTAGCCCCAGGCTTGGTGCAGAGCCCCTGGCAAAGGTCCTGAGGTCGGAGGCCTGGGTTCCCTGAACATCACACAAGGAACTGTGTGCCCTGAAATGAACTTGATACGGTATCTCAGAGCAACTCTACCACACATAGATTGTGACTGTGTCCTAAGGGAAGAGGGTGACTGTGGGGTGTCCTGGAGGGTGTCGGCAGCTTTGTCAGGTGCAGCTGAGGCCTGTGTGCAGAAGGGGCAGGGTGGGGACTGACCAACCAGCTTCAGTCAGACATTTGGACTTGGACCCAGGTGCCTCTGCAAGACTGAAGTCTGCTCCCTTAGCAGGGAACCCTCCTGTCACTGAAGGGACCATTATCCAGGCTGCCCACAGTGGCCATCAGAAGCAGGGTAACCAGGTGCTGATGAGCACAGACTCACAACAGCCTAACAGTCGCCTTCCACACATGTGTCTCCTACTTCTAGGGCCAGGGCCACCTCTCAAACCCCAGACCTCAGCCTCAGGGATGTGACTGAGCTGAGCTGCCCATCCAGTTGGATGTACTTTCTCTCTTTTGAGGCTATCCAGAAACAGGAAGGGTGGCCTCTCGGCTGTTAGCCACAGGCAGGTGAACACCTCTTCAGAGCAACCTAATGGGGGCATTGAAAAGTCCCCATAAGTCTCCCAGGAAGGGAGAGGAAAGAAAGGGAACAGAGGGTGTCATTCTTACACCCATCCAGAAAGAGACCCTATTGTCCCATCTTACAGGTGGGAAAAGTGAGGCAAGAACATCCAAGTGACTGTGCTGGTAATGGAGGAAAGAGTCCTCCACTCCATAAGGAATGGCATTGAAAGAGCAGGTAAGACAGTGGCAGGCCTAAGTCAGTCTCCTGCCCCTCTCTTGTCATCGACCAGGTTGGCGGATCTCATGGAACAGCACCAGGAAGAGCTGGCCACCATTGAGGCCCTGGACGCAGGTGCTGTCTACACACTGGCTCTGAAGACACACGTGGGCATGTCCATCCAGACTTTCCGCTACTTTGCTGGCTGGTGTGACAAGATCCAGGTGGGGTTTGGACTCATGTGTCCCGTGTATTCATGAGCTTGTGTGCAGGCGGGTTCCTGGGGAGGTGCCTGGAACGATGGTGCCCTGCCAAGCATGCTGCCAAACAGTTACCACAGTGATGGCTTAAAACATTGACAACTCAAAATCCCTCAGGTGAGAGTCCAGCAGGCTTGGCAAGTTTTGTGCCAGGGTCTCAGTGTGCCTCAGCTTTGTGGTGCAGTAAGAAATACCTGGAGAGTCAACTTGTAAAATGAATGGGTACATTTTAGCTTTTGGTTTGGAAGGTCCCCGTGCACAATCTGTTGACTCCATTGCTCTTGGGTCTGTCAGCACACATGGTACAAGAGTGAGTGACAGAGCAAAACTGCTCATGTCGCGGCAGGTGAGTCTTACAAAGAAAATAAGGGAGAGGTGGGGGAGTTTGAATAGCTCCTTGAAGGACACCTCCAGGACCTAACCTCCACCCACTAGCCCCACATCTTAAGAACTTCTCTGCCTCCCAGTAGTGCTCTTTTGGGAACGAGTCATTAGCATGCAGGCTTTGGGGAGTCACTCAAAATCCAACTATGACAAGTGCACTGAATGCCTGGGCCTCACCCTGAGGCTCTGAGGGAGGGCCTGTTTCCAGACCATTCAGGTGTTGCCAGAGTCCAGTTCTCGTGGTTGCAGGTCCTCACTTGAGGCCTCCATCTCCCAGTGACATGTCATCTGTGAGTTTTGGGTCTCTGCTGCCATCTTATAACCGTGGGATGTGGTCCTGGGGGTTCCTGTGGTGCCTCTAGGCCCATGCATGGCCCTCCCTTCCTCCTGAGGCCCACCATGAGATCTTGTACATACCCTGTCTTGGGATTGAGCACACAATCTCGGAAGGTTCCCCAGGGAGAGGAGGACTCCAAGGCTCTTCTCTCCGCTAGGGGCTGAGAACTATGGAGCATGATGGCCACGTGAAAGGTGGGCCTCCAGGCACCCCCTCCCCGTTCTACCTCCTTGTGATTTCTCTGGAGCCATCTCTTCCTGGGCCCCCTGGGCTACCTCAGCACTAAAGGCTCTAGGGGCAGCCTGGCCTCCAGGGGCCTCCTCATCCTTTCTCTGCCCAGCTATCAGAGCAAAAGCCCTTGTCCCTGCCAGGACCAGCCTACTGCCTAGGGCTGTGTCTAATATGGAATTGTTGCTTTGCTCCTCCTGGTTGTCCAGCCTGATACCTCTGAACTCCTGCCATGTCCCTGTCAAGTGTAAGCTGGCAGCCTTGGCCTCCTACTCAGCTCATCATGGGACAGTCAGTACCTAAACAAGACCCTCTTTATCCTGGGTGTCCGCCAGCAACTGCTGGCCAAGGGGAAGGGATGGGAATGCCCACACCCACACCCACACCCCGTGACACTGTGTGCTTTTTCTAGGGTGCCACCATCCCCATCAACCAGGCTAGACCCAACCGCAACCTAACCTTGACCAAGAAGGAACCTTTTGGGTGAGTGACAAGGTGCAGTGACACACAGTGACAAGGTGTGTTCTGGAACACCACACACCTGCCTGCAGCATCTCTGCACATATCCATGAGTAGCTATTCCCTTCACTGCTCTGCCTGGTACTGCTGTCTTTTAATTAAATGTAGAGTAACTGTCAATCAGAGCCAAGACAGGAGGGGAGCTATATCCAAAATGACCGTGAAGGAACTGTGTTATACAAATGAGCCGGTGTTAGCCAGAGGAACAGAGCCAGCAGAATGTACTTATAATTAAGAAGCCAGGTGGCTTGGCTTCCACCGTCAGAGGCTCCATAGCCACATGGCCACCTGCAACTTGGAGGGCCGGGGAGACAAGAGCCATTCAGTCTGAGAAGCTGGAAGGTTCAAACAAGGGTCACACATGGCAGAGCTCCCCAGCCCAGAGGATGGTGCCACCCACATTCAGGGATCAGTTCCCAGAGAATCCTCGAAGCATGACTTAACCAGTTTCCTAGGTGTCTCTCAGTCCAGTCAAGCACAGAACCAAGCTTAACCATGGTGACAGTGAAGGGCAGAGCTCACTAGGGGAAATGCAGAGGAAACGTGGCCCTCAGCTCCTCATCTCGCCCACAGAGGACCCCAAGGCACAGGGGAAAAGAGAAAGCATGGTGGGACATCTCCATATGTATTCAGAATCCTCACTCATGTCACAGGCATGGGGAATCCCTCACAGGTGTCTGGGAGGCTTAAAAGCCTGCATATGGCCCTATGAGCAGCAAGGGCTCTATCAAAAACACATAGACTACCATGGTCTTAACACATTCTCCTGAAGCCCTGAAGTGAGAGGGAGGGAAGGAGGAGGGAGAAGGGGAAAGGGAGGGAGGGAGGGAGGGA